ATTGGAAGCTTTTTACAATGAAAAAATTTTTGAGTTTAGTTCTATTCTCCTTGAGAAGGTCTTAATTTCAGTCGTCAAAAATAATATTAATAATTTTACTCACCCATTATTTCTACTCTCACATTTCGGCGGAAAATACATATGTACGTTGCCTGTCACTTACACTGCACTGCAATCACTAAACCGAAACTTCATGTTCAGCGCTCTTTGATTTGCTTTACCGACTGTCAACTGCTGCAACCAACAAAACTAGAATTACTGGCAGGTAAATTAGTTAACGATTGATTATCAACACTTCAGTGCTCGTAACACTTTCGTGATCCCTGTCTTGCCGATTAATTCACTTAATTTAACAGATTAATATTTTAATTTCACATTCCATCACACCAAACCAGGCCAACACAAAAACCATCAATTTAACATACAAATCGGAAGTAATCAAGCGAAATTCCCTATTGGTGATGACAAGAGAAGTGAAGCGGAGAGTTTTTGTTTGCAAAAAGAGACTACAGATCAAATATGATACAACTAACGTGATCCAAGAAGTGGTACTCTTTTCAATATTCTTTTTTTGACAGATCACGCGTGAATCGTGTCACGCTGTCATACTATTTTTGTCCAGTATTGTTTGGCAGTTCAACATGGAAAGACTTAAGCCTGAATAACGTCTACTAATCGCTCAGCTTTATATCGAAAACTCACTTCTGTAAAAAATGTGTTTCGTGCGCCTTTCTCAACTTATTTTCAACATAATCGGCCTACTTAGCGTACTATTCGCAACACCCTCATCCATCTTGAGACTCAGCATTCATTAATTTATAATATTCGACGGAATAAACCACGTCCAGCACGCAGTGAAGAAAGTATAGCAGTCGTGGCTGAAAATGTACACGAAGGCTTTGGAGTGTCGATTCGGCGTCGGTAGCAGAAACTCGGACTGACACTATAGGCAATTGAAAAGTTCAAGAAGATTCGACGTTTTCGAGCTAAATTTTGTTCAGCGATGGTTAACTCAGTGAGCAAACTGAAGGGATTCGAGAGCTGTTTTTTCATTCAGGTCGGTGGAATAATTGTTAACAGTCAAAATGCTCGAACGAGTCATCGAAAATTTGTCTCAACTAATGGACCATCTGAGTCGTATCCGCGAAAAACATTTGAAAGACAAAATCAAAAAAAAAAAAAAAAAAAAAAAAAAAAAAAAAAAAAAAAAAAAAAAAAAAAAAAAAAAAATTCAAAGTATGTTCTGCCGAAGATAATAAATATTCGCCATTAAACTTAAAATTTGTGTGTTTTTATTTAATAAAGTAAGGAACCTCGAATATATCACCCCTCAAAATCAAAAAAAACTACGTTGAAGTTCGATTAAAATAAGAAAAATCGGTTGCCCATTACTTATAACCGCTTTCACAAATAAAAAAGATTTCTTAAAATAACTTAATTTTGATCGTTTTGTATAGCAGCTTTACGCTTTGGTGATCCGATATCGGTACCGAAAAATGAGCAGCTTCTTGAGGATATTTCAATGCCATAACTTAAATTGCAGTGCAGCTTCATATCGATAACTCAAAAACTGAGGAACTAGTTTATGCAAACAGACACACTTGATTTAAGTGACTCAGCTCATTATGAGACGTTCCTTGTAGGTGTTACAAACTCGATGGCAAACTCAATATAGCCGATTCGGGGTTCGTATTTTACATAAATGAAATTGAGATCAATTGAATTCAAAGGCAATATCTAATGGAACTAATGTCCAGCAGTTGTATCGCAAGCATGTGATCAGACGAGAGCGGTAACGACTAAAATATTCTTCTATAATTTCTTTTGCAGTGGATATATTCGGATCTAAATAAAGATCTATCATAATATAGAGTACATACTATTATACGAATAACTTTATTTTGAAAGACTTTAATAATTATAAAATCAGCCGAGCGCACTCAAAGCTAAATTCTACTCGACCAGCGCGGTCAGAGTATTGCCTTATGTATGAGTAGCTTGTTCTCTAAGCTTCGAAATATCTTGATATTCACGTTCTCTCTCCAAGTACGCTTCTTTTCAATTGTAAGTTCCAGAAAATTACCATATAAGGCCTTTAGTGAACACTTTTCGTGGCTTAGCGTATAAATCACTTTTGAAGATCTTATTAATGTTCTATTTCTTGAGTAATGAGGAATGTAGAGCGACCTAAACGCAATAGGTTGATTGTCGTAATTGTGAAGTCAGAGTTATGCATTAGGAGGGCAATAATTTAGAGAACGTTGTAGCAACAGATAGTAAGCTATGGACAGTTTTTCCTTTAACTTGTATAATAAGCTTAAGTGTCATATCTGGTCAAATGAACAGTATTTTCAGTTTTCCATGATATCAGTTATAAAGTGTTCTACTCTGAGCCAAATACAAATTGTGTCATATATGTACTTTGTACAATTATCGGGACGTATCTTGATGAGTGGTTAAATACGAGTAAAAACACTTTTTGGAGAATATGAACTAAATATAGACAAACAGCACGCCCACCTTTGTTGGCAGGATTCGTTCTTTTGGAATGCGTGATTAAACATGCCTAAAACCTTTTGAAAGCTAGCTTCCCATAGTTAAAATTCTAGAACAAAAAGGTAGCCACCGCCCCTTTGCAATCACTTGACAGCAAACAATTATAAAATGCACATAATAAGTTCATTTATTGATCCAGCTTTTAAGTGTTTCCACATGATGACACTCACACATCTTCACTGTACAAACACTTAAACAACTAACCTCTCAAAATTTGTTTACATAAAAATTGATCTACTAAATGACACAATTTGTTATGGCAATGCTCTGCTTTGTGGATGTTTACGCTACTAACGCGAGCTGTAGAAAGGAAATTTGCGGGCCTTCACTTCTACTCTATGCGCTTCCTTGTAGTTTAGCGGAAATTTGGAATTAATTTGATTTTGTTCCTCCTCTAAGCGTTTGAACATGTAGCGTAGTCTCAAATTTTGCTATAAATATCATGCAACAAAATATTTAGAATAAATTGCTGTCACTGACAAAACTGCCTTTCAATTTTACCGATTTTATGTATCCTTGCTTTCCCGCCGTGCAGGCAATGGGGCGGCTAAGTTTTGAATAAAAATTTGTGGAATATTTAGAAAAGTGAATATCGATTTGTATTAGTTTGGCTTACACAAAAAATTTTAACAAAGCCATATTCTTCTGGTTCGTCAGCACTTTCCTCGTAAGACGTGACATATGTGTTGACATATGGTCTTCTACGTACTCGGGTTAAACAGTGCAAAATATGCTTCAAATTCAATGCTAAAATCGTGCGAGTTCAAAAATTAAAAATTTGTATGTTGCTGATTTTTGTTTCAAGAAGAATTAAATAAAAAAAGTTTAAACGATTTGTTGTAGATAAGTCAGAAAAATTATTGACAGGAAAGTGAAATTTAAATTTATAATGTCTGCTTTTTGTGGAGATAGTGGTTGGTTTGAAACTTTTACAGTGTGTAAAGGTGTTATATCACAGCTAAGGACATCTCTAACCAATTTTTGTTTAATTAATTTAAGCAAGTTTAAGGTAGTACCCACCTGCTACTTGCGAACACTACTTCATCAAATAAAAATATCACAATTTGATTTTAAAAAGGAAGAAAACCTAAAGTGGAAACATTGATATGTTTCATAACCAAAACATTAACCACTACGTGTAAGAGTCATACCCAAAAGGTTAACCAAAATGTGTTGAGTCGATCCTTAGGTAATAGTTGAAATCTTATGTTATTTTTCTGTTGCTAAGACACTGATATTTAAGCTCGGTTTCTTTAACATTGTCAGTATTATCTTCGTTAGTAGAAGAGGATGCCCGACTCGCATAATATAAACAAGATTTGAGATAATGCTTAAACACCAGTTGTAAAACTTTTCGAAACAATCTACTAGTAATATCCAATATTCTAGGAAATAATCTATTTTGAATTTGAATTAACCTCATGAGGTTTATGCAAGCATTTTTAAGAGCTTGTTCTGAAGGGTAGAAAAGGGTAGATCAGCAAAAGCATATACCTTTTTCATGAACTGTAGTAAGGGTGTACATGGGTTTACGGGTTTCAAAAAATCGATTTTTTTTTATTGTCTTATTAAATTGTACAACACCTCCATAGTGTTGTTTTAAATTTTCCAGTTGATCTGAGTAATAGTTTCGGAGATACAGCCTTGAGAACTCGAGTCTAGCTAGGCTAAGTGCCCCGTCTTTAAATGAGTTTTTCTGGAAATTGTGTTTTCGAAGTCAGTTGGCAAGATTTCTCGTGAACTTCTCAACCGATATTCATGAAATTTTGAAAAGATCTTTGAGAAAAAATTATTATTATTATTAGACTTGGACGAAGGATTTTTTTTTCGATTACAACTATTTGAAAAAAAATTACGCGAAATTTTCACTGAAATTCGAAAAATGTCTGGCAAAAGCCCACTTGTCAGTTTTTTCCTTCGTTCAAGTTAAGATTTTAACTAAAACAAGTATTTTTGCCATTTTATATGATCCTGTAAGGAGTTATCCTGCCCATTTTTGGTGTCGCAATGGCCGAGTTCAAAATATTTTTTTCCAAAAATTTCAGGATTTCTTTGTTAATCGTGTATGTTTGTAAATATCTCTTTTTTATATCAGAAAATTAATTTCAAAAACAAAGCTTTTTTTACCTGAGTAAATCCACGTAATCTCTACTGTTATCTCATCATCTCAGATAAGCCAAAATAGCGTATAGATAAACACAACGCCCCTACTTATCTTTAAAGCCATAAAATCATGTCAATAAAACCTTTTATAAGTTAAATATCTCACTATCGAGATCTTCACAAACACCTACGAAGAGATCAGCTATTTTTCAAATCATTTTAACATAAATAAACACTGAAATTACATTTCCTGACTAATCTAATAAAAGCGATATCGGCCTAAAACCCCAACGAACTGTAATTCTGCATTCCTCAGCTAAATATCTTCTATTTAAGTCAAATTAGTTAAGCTATAATTTTATTTCGTACCAATACATACACAACTACTGTGCATATATTTAAAATTTTCGTAAAAAAAGTTAAGAATTTCTGGCTCCCTTCCGTGCGCTTTGACAATCTTCCGCATCTTCCACGGTGACTTTTTCCAGCCTTTTAATTTTTTGTGCAATTTTTAAAATTTCACGTTTTATACGATTTTCCTCCACTTGTAAATCCTCGAAAAACTCACGCAAAGTTTGAGTTTGCTTCGAGAAAACAAAAATATATAACATCGGAACAGATAATTTATAAGTGGATAAGGCAACCTTACCTTTTTGACGTTATGAAATCGATCTGAACGCGCACTATTTGCTGCGATTCTCTGCCTAAAACAAAATATATTTTTCAAGCTCGCAAAAATCGTACTTGCTCATACTCACTGTAGCGTTGTTAGCGCGGACATACGTCGACGATTTCTCAAGATTTGTTGCTGTGTCGAAATCATATCACGAAACATGTAATTACCCGAACGATTCAATGTAAATATTTCCACAAAATCCAACAAATGTTCTGATTGTAATTTTATGCTTACAAAAGTTCAAAGAGTTTTCGAAAACTGAACGAAACGTCATTGAGAAACCGGCTCGTTAAAAGTGATGTTGTAATTGTTACACTGTGTTAAAAATCAACGAACAGAGTTGTGCTAGTTTTCAAAATCGTTGAAATTATCTTCATAACTACTGCTTTAGAATCAAGTAAAGTCATAAAGTCCTAGTTTATCGAACACTTAGGTGTTGTGAAAGCTTCACACAATTTAGACCATGAGTTAGATAGCTGAAGGCTCAAAAATGAGTTCTTCAGAGCAACAAGCCCATAACGATCTGAAAAGACATTAGTAAGAAGTCTTCTTTTAGTTGCCTAGTACTTAATCAAGATTAAGGTATTCGAGAGAAGTGCGATATCAATAAAATACATTTGAGCTCAGTAGAATATATTTGATTAGAAATTATATTATTCGAAAAGAGCTTATTATTTGGGATTAGCTAAAGTTACTTTGGTAGGTTGACAAAGAGCAGTTTTGGTCCTTAGTAATACCAGATAAAGTGCCCTCACATAGTTCATGAGGAATAGTCATCTTTGACTAAAACAGCGCTCGACGTGAATTCCAACAGGTTCGATAGAATAACTAAAGATAACTCTCCTTTTTCAATATGGCGATCTCCTTTCCCATCTCCTAGTTTTGGCTACACTGTCAAAGAACTGAGTTATTATTACCTGAAACTATTAAAGTCTGCTTCTTAGATATATCCAAAAAAGAGGTAGATCTCTCTTACTCTCTAAGAGCACTAAATACCTCTTGATCCTTCAAATTGCGTATTAAAAAAATTATGGCTTTAAAATTACATTAATAATTGCTACACTGTGATCTTAGTCTCATGTACACATATAAAAATATGACAACCAAAACAAAATAAATCGACACATTTATTGAATTGAAAAAAAAAAAAAAAAGTTCAAAGGAATAGGAAACAAAACTCTAAAACTAAACAAAATTAAAAAGTTATAAAGCTTACATAAAAAAACTCGCATTATAAAAGAAACAAACTAAAATCAACATGAAATCGCCATCCATGGAGGTTGTAAACAACTCCTGCGGCGTTAAAGCTTTCGATGTGCTGCGGTGGGTATACAAATCAAAATAATATGAAACACCACAATTTTTCTTTCCTTAATTTACTGAACCGTTTCAACAGGCGGCACATTTGCATGATGGGCTATAGATCACCGAAGAACGAGGTTAGTTAAATACATATTTTTGTTTTTGTTTTTAATATACACTTTCCCGCAGCCACGCAAGATGTTGGTGCGGATGTGCCGGAAGCTGTTGCGCGAAGAGAAGCGCATTGTGAAGAGAATCACTCAAATTGAGCGTGAAATCGTGTTATTCGAAGCGGAAGCGGCTCTACGCAGACAGAAACCGAGACTCTAAGGGTGAAGCGGTGTTAGCGGTAGCGAAATTAATTTCCTTAGGATGTAGCTTAAGAAACAAGCCAAACACCGTCTGGGCTATTAGACGGTGTTTGGCTTGATTCGCGTATTGTAAAAATATGTAATTGATTGCTTAAAAAGTTTATGAAACAAATTTGCTGTGAATTAAAAATTATATTCTTCTTCGATAAAATATTATTGTGGTGATTTTAGTGGTGGAGAGAGCTTAGACAAAAAGAATTATAAAATTACTTCAAAAAGAGTCTGTGGTATTCTATTGGCGAGTCGAAAAAGTCTTATCGCATTGTGTCAATAGATGTCTTTGCAGTCGTACATACATATATCTCCAGTGCTACCAATCACATTGGAGTGGTTGGTGAAGCTCAACAAATCGAAAAGTTATGCTGAGTGTTTGGTGGGATTGGAAAGGAATCATCCTATATTAGCTACTCCAGCCTGGTCGAATGATTGATTCTTCATTTTACTATCAACAACTGATGATATTGAAACAAAAACGGCCAGAACTGATTAACAGAAAGGGCTTTGATGACTCGACGAAAACTGGGAGAGCTGACTTTGAAGTTTTGGTGCATCCACCATTAGCCCTGACCTTGCACCAACGGACAATCATTTTTTTCGGTCAATACAGATCTCTCTTAATGTAGTAAAGTTGGCTTCAAGGGAAGCCTGTGAAAATTACTTGTCGCAATTTTTCGCCGAGAAACCTGAAAAGCTTGGCACTAATGGAATAATGTCTTTAGCGAAAAAATGGCAAAATGGTACTTATTTGGTTCGTAAAAGTTTATTATAAATATAAAAAATAAGTTGATGTTCTATTAGAAATACGAAAAGACTTTTTCGACTTCCCAACATGACCAGTTAGTCTTCGGACTCATATATAACTTGATTTAGAAAAACAAACGTTCGAACTGGTCAAGGTCCAAACATATAACTCTTATTCTCTTACAGCCAAAAAAGTTCGCACCATGCGTTCCAACACTTTATTTTTTTGGTTTGAAGAATTTAAGTATTTTATCATCATTTTGAGGCGACTCAAATGCTACGAGATCTTTCAAGCATACCTCAGCAAATTACAGCATCGCTACCCACTCAATACTGCATCTTTCTATGAAGCAATAACTCTAAACTATGAACTCCTTCAAAGATATGAAAAATAGTTTTCTCATTTATAATTGCATGTTCAACTCTACTCAACCCAAATAATTAGTCTAGTTAAACCCATTAAAAATACGTGAACCATCAAATACAAAAGAATCTTCCTCATACCTTCACAACTGCTATATATTCGTATACCGTTATTGTTAGTACCATTGTATACAGATGTATGTGTGTAGTGGTTGTGTCTATAGAAAATATTTAGCTTTAATTTTCATCGAAGCTGCTGAAAGCTCCGACCGCACTGTTTTCTATTCAACTATTTCACTTCGCATATCTCCACATTCCCGCTAAATCGCAACAAATCAACGTAATTATTTGCTATTGTTTGAATGCTCGTACTATTGTGTCCTTGTTCAGCCGCCCGACACATTTCCTAGAATCTGCATAGTTCGAGCGCTTACATTGTTCCCATGCACGTGCACCACTACATTCACAATTGTGTAGTGTGTTTATCAGTTGGGCTTGCCCAGGTGATTTTTCACCAGATCCCGACATAACAGATACGAGTATGTTGTTGTGCGGAAGTGATGTTCGGCACATATAGAATCTAAACGGCTTCCTTTTGTACCCCAATAGAGACGGAAAAAAGCTTTGTCTCTAACGCTTTGTTGTTTGTGGTTAATTTATTGAAAACGCAATCATTTTTACCATGCCAAATGGCGAGCGGGAAGTATTAAGCTCTCATGCGATTTCACTGTAAAAGTTTTTATGGTGTTCTCTTCAGGTACGGTGCTTTAAAGTGATAAGAGAACATTTCTGTGAAATTCAAAATTCTAATAAACTATAATAATTTATTTAAAAAGTAGTATTTATAAACTTATAACATACTACTAAATCAGTGCAATAATTCAAATAGAGATGTTTTTTCACAAACCTAGTTAAAAGGCTCATTTAGTGCCAAACTGAAAACCTTTTTTTTTTTTTAATTACCGGTTGCCATATTACTATAGGTCTTGCCTTTAAAATCACTTACGAAAATTTTAAATGAATTCCCCAAATAATTTTTGAGTTATTTTTTAATGTAGGAACCTCCCTCACCATTCGATACCAGACGAGGTTTTAGAAAGGGTGATTGCCTCTTACGCGTATTTTTAATATAATGGTAAAAATGTGATTCGTGCCATTAATTTACATCGCCGTTAATCTACATCGCAGTGGCACTCTAAACGTACCTCACCAAGCTACTGGAAATTGCAACTAGATATCTGAGTTTTGTAGATCCTTTGAGAGTGGAAACCATTTAGAAAACCACCATTCTTTGAAAAATGTGTTTAAAGATTGGAGTCGCTCTATTCCCCTCTCTGTTACCGTTTTACAAGAAAATTTGAGTTTCGATTTCAAAATTTGAGAAAATTGAAACGTTCGAGAGAAGTGTTATGCGCAACATTTTTGGAGCCGTCCTCATGAGCGATTATATCGAAGAAGTTGATGCCACGAACTGTATGAGCCCTACAGTGTCATGGACATAGTTAAGTTAGTTATAACAATCCCACGAATGTGTTGGTAAGGTCATGCCGTTCACTGATGCTCTATAAAAATTCTCTTTCCACTCGAGACCCATGGATGGACAATGGAAGCAAGGTGCCCACGCATTCAATGGAAGGAACAAAGCATAGACATAGGCGGCCTGTCAGCACTTGGTATGTACAACTGGCGTTACCACGCAATGGATGTTGCGTCTATTCAAAGAAGTTTTGTGTTCTTATCCCAGAAAGATAATGGTTTTTTAGGATGCCAAATTAGCTGAGTCCCGTAAGCTTATTAAGCCTGAATTAGGTATGTATATATTTGAACGAAATGCAATTTTTTTCAAATCCGTGCAGGAAGCAAAATTCAAAGAACAGAGTAATTGTATTTTTATTGATTTTTTTATTACTTAAATAAACAAAAATTTAATAAAGGTGGCAATATTAGGAAACATGAAGTTGGCTTCGAAATTTTAAAAATTAAACTTCTATATTCACTTGACTAAAAAAACTTATTATTTTACTGTACTTCAATTAAAACCAGGTGGCAACACCATACATTTTTTTTTTAATTTTTCACTAAATATTTATTTTTATTATTATACAGAAGCAATTTCAATTAAAACCAGGTGGCAACTCCATTAATAATTTTTTATGAAATTTCCCTCTAAATACACTTTACCATTTTATCATCTTATTTTGATATTTTAATTTTAAAAATATAGTATATTTTTCCTTAGGCACAGCTATACATATGGCAACCCTGAGATGCTCTCATAAATCCTTTATAACGATATCCTTATATAGCAGTATAAATATCAAGTACATGCACATATACAAACTCATGATAATTGCTCTAAAAATTTTCAAGCAATCAAGGAAGAAACGGAGTTAACCATTTGAATGTTTAAATAAAACCCAAAACTGCAGAAGAGCATATGAATTACACTTTAGCTCTTAAATACCTTTAATGAAAAATGCTTAAAAATGGCGAGCACCAAAATTAACGCCATGCTACGATAAGTTAATGAATGTAAAGTAAAAAGAACTTTCCCATCCACTAAGTTTGGTGATAGTCGCTTAGGTATGTACTATATGTGTATTTAGGAAAAAAGGTTGAAAGGCGAAAGCAAACTTTTGCAACGGTAACTAACACGCGTTTCAACTGAACCAATGTTCACAAACACGCATCTGAAAGAGTTATTTTCAAGTTTTTGTAAGAAAGTTTTTATTTGACTTTGGAGGCTTGGCTGAAATTTATACTTTTTGGCCAATTTTTTGTGCCTCTGTGAGTGCTTAGCTTTGATGTTTAGTGAAAATTTAAAAAAAAGTTCCTAAACTGAGCTAAATAGGGTTCAGTAAGTTGAGAGAAAAATTCATAAGTTATTTTATTTGCTTTTGGTTATTTTTGAACTTAATAAAAATAAGAAAGACGAGACTTCATTAGATACACCGTGTAAAAATGAGAAATGTAAGGGTGAGAAATTAAGAAGATAAGTGAAGAAGTCAATTCTTGCCTCGAGAGATATTTAAAACCCATAGACAGTATAAAAGATATTTTAAAATAAGTAAGTTATCGGTGAAAATGATTTATTTTCAGTTTTAGTTTAGTTCATATATATTATATAATAAAATATCAGACTTGAAAATATTCTCTTCACATTCAAATAACTTCTTCATTTCCTTTCATTTTTTTGCTATCGCAGTGTTCCTGAGTCGTCCGTCTCTTCTTTGCTTGTGTTGCGACATGCATCTTCACCGTAAAACGTTCGCGTCCCCTTTGAAATTTCATCACCTTTGACCTTTGCTTATTTTCAAATACTTCCTCCAACAATTTCTCTCTTTTTTCCACGTTACTTATGGCCCTAAAGGCTTCCTGCACATAAGCCTTAGTTTGATGTTCATGCAGTGTAATATTGGAATCTCCGCGCTGCCGCCTCTCTGCGCGCTCTCTTATTATTTGGTCCATTTTCTGCGCTAACTTGTATTTGGATCGAAGAGCCTCTTGCGCTTCACGATTGAGTTGGCCACGCGCCAAAAACGGTATACTCGCATCTGTATATTCCACCAACCATCTGTTTATTAGCGGCTTTATATCTTCGGGATCTTTGGCTTGCATAATCACCGCGCTCTCGGTTGCGATTTGTATCATAAAAAGATTCAGTGGTAAATCCTTACTTCGCATTATAAATAATATTTTACACAAATTTTGTACTATGGTGATTGGTGCTCTGTCTAACTCCCGTGGCTACAAAAGTCACTATGAACACGCGTCGCTGCAATCAACAGGTTTTATAGGCCGGTCAGTTAAAGAAATCGGCGCAAATATGGTAGTAGTTCGCAGGTAGAATGCTCTTATCATAACCTGTAAGCCTTGATATTCAAGGGCGTACGTGCAATTTATAATGTTCTTTTCAGGTAGTCGTGTATTCCCTCAAGCGTTGTAACAACAAAGAAATATTATTCATTGTTTTTGCTCCGACAACCTTAAAATTAAATGAAACTTCGATTTTATTCTTCGATAAACCTTTGACATTTTATCCACGTATTCAGCATTAGTTTTGTTTTCAATTATTTTCTGCCTATTTTTTGAGTCACACATAATTACCTTACCTTTTTATAATCCTCATAATATTATCCAAATAAATATCTTATATGTCAGCTGAAAAACTGCGTCAAAACTATTGAAAAAAACCTTTCACAATGCCATATTCATTGCTGCCGAAAATAAATAAATAAATATTCCGTGTAGTAATTACAGTTGCCACTACACAATAACTCAGCAAATATTTCCAATAATTGTTTATGTGAATTATTGCGCAATTTTATTGCTGCTGCCTGAAGCTTTTTGCATGTGCAATAAATCATACGTTCATCAACAGGCATTGCAGTTATTATTTATAGCGCCAGCACATGCATATAACGGTAAATTGTAATACTTCACTGAGCGACAGCTAACAATGCAGTTCACAAATATCAATTGAAATGACATGTTTGCTTTGCTAAAAATCAACTAGTGATACACACGCAAACAAACACGCATAAACTTGTTTTCATTTCGTTGGCGAACCGCAAACACTTTCACAAATGGCAGTTTTAATGCAATTTTTCAATTGTGAAATTCAAATGTTTTCACATTGCATACATCATTGATAGTTGCGGCCAAGTTTTTTTCACACCAACTCACACACATGTGTACACATTTACAGTTTGTAGGTTGAGATTTACTGTTTGTAGGTTTAAATTTACTGTTGTAGGCTGTAATTACTAATTGCATGTGTGAACTCTACTCGATTTCACTAAGCAATTAAACTGGACATCTGTGTATATATGTAAATATGTTTTTATGTGTATATATAAGGGTGTCCGCTATTTCCAAGGTTATTGTTGTGTTTTTTTTTTTTTTTTTTTTTTTTTTTTTTTTTTTTTTTTTTTTTTTTTTTTCAAATGCACTTAAAGTTCCAGTTTTGCTCTCAACAAAGATATCTTTATATTAAATTTAAACCGTGTCGAAACCATTTGACTTTCCCCTTATATTTACATGAGATTTTTTTTGACCCTTTGAATTAAAGTCTTTATCTTCAAAATAAATAAATAAGTAATTTGAAAAACCGATACTTGAATGCAAAATTTTTTGCTCTACAAAAAAGGTGTGGATAATTTTTTTCGTAAAAGCCTTACTTTAAAAGTTATAAGCAGTTAAATATGTTAATTAAATGGCCTGAGCATTCATACCAGCGATTTATGCATTCTGCGTTACTCATACGATATGGTGTACCATAAGACTATGCTAATTCTGAAGCATTGCTTTAAATGCATATAACTTTTAAAGGAAGCTTTGGATGACAAAAAATCATTTTGACCTTTGTTGTAAAGCGGAAAATTTTGCACTCGAACTTCGAAATAATTTCCGAATTTTTCGAAGTTGTAGCTTTGTACAAAAAAGTCATTTAGACGAAATAATTTTCGAAGTTGTAGTTTTGTACGAAAAAATCATTTAGACCTTTTTTGTAGAGCGAAAAATTTTGCATTCGAGTTACAAAATAATTTTCGAATTTTTCGAAGTTGTAGTTTTGTACGAAAAAACTCATTTTGAACTTTTTTATAGAGAGAAAAGTTTTGCGCTCGAATTTCGAAATAATTTTCGAATTTTTCGAAGCTGTAAATTTATTTACTTTAACGCAAACGATCAAAAATGCCATGTTATATATCTACATATGAGAATTAAAATGACTTAGGCATGATTTAAATTGAAAATAAAAAGCATACATATATTAAGACCTTTTTTAAAACAAAATCTGAAATTTAAGGAGGTGCTTGCAACAAACACCCACTTGTAAATCATGGACACCCTAATAAATATATATACACATATATAAACCGTATTTTGTTTACAGTTACACAAACATACTTTTTTATGTATGTGTGACTTTTTAGCACTTTTGCAAATTCAGTAAATTCTGATGACAGACAATGTTCAAGTATCGTGCACAGGTACATACCTATATGACTAGTGAGCATGACCGCAGAAATAAATACATAAAAAGATGTAATTTACAAAACTGAAAGTTTTATATATAATATAAATAACCAGACTGCTTTGTTTGTGTGTGAGTTTATTGCACAAAACTTGCATCCAAACAAAGAGTGCTGACATTAACCAGCACACACACATACTTAAATACACACTCATTTACATGTATATATAAATGAAATTCTGCTTGAATTTTTGTGAAAAAAATTCGCCTGAAAGTTGACTTTCAGCGATTTGCTCGCATGTAGGTCAGCTAGCGTTTAACGGGTGGCGTATTATGTAATAAACCTAGGGTACTTTGACTTAAAAAATACGCCAAAACAATGTAAAAAAATATTTGAAAAAAATAATTTTTTCAACGTGCGTTTACATGTTCAATTATGACATCAAATAAATATTTACGCAGCAAATTTGTTTATATGAGTGTGGGTATGTCCAAAAAGGTCGAGGAAATTTTAAGCAAGAAGGATTTGTATTTTTCTTTGTTTTGATAAAGCATTAATTTTTAATAACGTATTTATAAATTTATGGAGCCATAAGCGAGTGCCGAAAAAATGTTCACTTGAGAAAACATTGGCATGACTAACAAACACACTAGTTACATGTCAGCTGTGAAAAAAAATTTTTTCCACTTTGTTGGTATTTGTATTTATTCTTCTTCGTTAGCGTTATTTTAACGAGAATTATGCTATTTTTCTATAATTTCATAAGCATGCCTCAAGTAGTTTGCGAGAATTTAGCCCCTGTCACGGTTCCTACATGGACTTGAAAATTGGAGTTCATTTAAGTTTACCCTACAAATACAAATATATAAGAAGTATTCTTCATTTCTTGGAGCCTTCCTGAAAAGAGAAAGGTGCAACGATCTTGTAGACGATTACTGAATATTTTTTGAAACAATTCGATACTTCACCTTAATATCATGAAGTGAGTAAATACAATATGTTAATTTTATCCATAATTAATATATTTCCGCTTACCAAAAAGTTTGACAACCAATCTGATTTCTGATCAATTTAAACTTATTTATATACAGGAAATTCGAATATGTTCTGCTCTAGATAATTTTCGAGCACTTCGGAATCAACATAATCGGTCATCGAGATCGACTCTTATTTATATTTTTCCTTATAGTGGTAGTCTTTAGCAGCTGTTATCTTTTAATAAAACAGTATAAATTAAGTGGAATTTGCCAAAATCAGGGCTTTTTTCACTACCCTCATGGTTTATCGCTTACTACAAATCCTATTACTATTGTATATCCCGGTCCGTGGAAGGAACATCGTTTAGTTCTACTCCCAAAAGTGAAAGCTCCTAATTATCTGATCAATATTATAATGAACTATTTACAAAATAGGGGATTGTTATTCGACACGGACGAGAGCACTCATAACCACACTATCTCCTGAGGAGTAGGGCAAGACTCGGTTTTAGGCTCACTATTATGGAACCAGATGTACGACCTGGTGCTATAAGTACATCAATCAAATTATGTAAAAACAATCTTAAATGGGGATTTCCTCATAGTGGTAGCAGTGCCTAAACATCTGGATGGCCTCCGGATCAAATACATTAACTGCTTAAATGCTTTACTGCAATGAGTCTATAGCAGGGTAAGCAGAAAGCAAAAGTATTGCTCATAAAAAAAAGTATTGCTCCAGGAAAATTAAAAAAAAAAAATCACAAGATTGAAGTGCCTTTGTGTAATAGTGGACTCAAGACTCAAATTCAGAAAGTACTTGGAAAATAAGACTTGCTTTACATGTCTATAAACCTTTATTTAGATTGATGGCAAATATCAACCGACTCTGCTGAGGTATTAGTCAGTATAGCGCCGATTGACATTCAGGGACACGAATTTCTACGAATATACAACTTATCACAGACGTCTAAAGCAGCAAAAAGAGAGGAGACAATCAAAAGCATCACAATGTGACAGCAACGGCGGCAAAATTCATACAAAAGACGATAAATTTAGACAGACCACATGGGGACCTGGACCTCCTCCTGAGCCAAATACTCAGTGACCATGTGTACTTTAGCAGCTACCCATACAAATAACGTCATGAATTTAGTCCACCATTTCCGATGTACACAGAGTGTATAGAAGATTCCGAACACGTACTCTATCACAGCTCTCGGTTTTCAAGCTTAAAACCAGACTTAAAGGTAGTCTTACGGCAGAAAGTTTACTGTGCCCGACTTATGTGCGAGTCCTCTGTAAAATGAAAAGCTGTTAGCGAAGAGGCAGCTCTAATTATGATAAGACTGCGACATTTACAACACATTAGGCGTCAGTCTGTCCGTACAATCATCGTCATGCGGAGGAGACTTAAATGTTTTCTTCTCTCTCATGTATGAATACGAGTACTTAGGTCGGTCACGTGGGAGAGACATGAGATGGGAGTGAGTAAGGTTTAGTGGATTTAAATCGCACACTCTAGCTTTCGATGCTTCCTCCTACTATAAATAAAAGTGTATTTGTCTATAAGCAATGCATGAACCTACTTTTTTAAGGTTCTTCATTGTCTTTGCTATCTTGGAGACAACAGCGACATTTTTCTCTCTCGTTAGAGGAAAGAGTTCAATAAACTTCTACTTTTACTAAATTTTTGCTTTCTTGATCTCTGTTGAGCTATACAGATTCCACAACTTTCACATGAGTGAACGCTTTTCAAAACCTGTATCCCAAGAAATTAAAAATGGAATATATTTCGCTAGATTAACTCCACCACATAGGTTCCAACAAGAGTCGACCATAGATAACCTCAATGAACTTCAAATTCTGTCCGACCAAGAACAATATTTCGCTGTTTAGTTTCAACTTTAGTTTGTACCAAATATTAAAAAATTGAATATATGTACATTCAATATTTCGTACTTGCCAATATTCAACTCTGCAACGTATCAATTTGTTGCTCTTTTCACTGATTTGCATATTTGACAATATGTTTCAACTCCCGCGTTATAAAATATTTGGTATTTGCAATCATCGGGATCCTTTGGTTTCGCTTAGCTGCCAATTTTGCCATTTAGCCGCAGCGATATTAAACCGCGCATAAAACACAAACAACCAACAAGCGCACCACCCGTTTTCAATTTCGGTTTCACTGTTCATTTGCATGCAAGCGCCCAAAAACAGTTATTGCTAATATTTCAGGCATTT